TTTTATACGAATTTTCAGAAATCACGCTTACTGCCGATCCGCTGTCGATTTCGAACTCCAAAACTAGCCCCCCAATCACAACACTCTCTGTCATAGGTCTCCCTTTGACACATCGAATATTGTAAAAACACTCACCATCGTCCCCCTCGTCCACGTACTTCACCCTACCCTCAAAAGTACACATTCTACGGAGATGACCCTTTTTATTGCACTTTTTGCATTTATAATTTTTATAACGACACTGATTGAACTTATGATTGGCATAACCGCACACACTGCACTTTTCTTGTTTGGAGATGCTGAACACGGCGTCCGAGTTGAATGTACCGGTGCCGGTCACGCCGCCACCCGTCGCCAGCGACGAAGCCAGGCGCGCATTACGCACACTCTCTGCTAGCTCGATGGCTTTCGCCAGTGTCAGCTCCCGCTGATCCTGTGCGAATAGTTTATCGCGCTCGTGCCCTGCCGTCATGCCCATGATAAATCTATCTAAAAGGGCCTCTTCCAAATTCTTAAACCCACAATGTGCCGCCAATCCTCTAATCCTCGCTGCCCATTGAGTGTGACTTTCTCCTGGCCGTTGACTTGCTGAATAAAAAATAGATTTCTCAGCAAACCCGAATCTTTTCGGAATAAAGTGGTCATCGAGTAGCTTCACTATAGTCTCGTAATCCAATTCTTCCACATTTTTCGGTAAGGCCAGGTCACTTGCTAGCTTGAAAGTCGATTCACTTAACGCACTCAATAATATTGCTCTTCGTTTTACCGACGCTTTATCAACTTCTTTTGTTATGTCATTTGCTATGAACCACTGATTTAGGCGTGATTTGTAGCTACTCCACTCGTTTGATAAGTGTTCAAAAGTAGGAAGTAAGCCAAATGACATTCCCGTCGACATAATTTTATTTTTCAAAGTTCGTCGCCTCGTCGCCACGTGTTGTATATCGAAGGAGCAGGTGATACGTTAGACAAACAAGCTAGTTAGTTGCACACTGATTTATTACAATATAAGGAAGGGCGTGGCCCGTTCTAACTACCCACATACATACATAACACATTATATAGTGGATACCATGGTTGTGTAGGCCACGTTGGTACAACCATGATGCCTGTACCGTCATCTGATATAATCTTTCTCAGGGTTTTTAAAATTATTGCAACTGGTGGAAAGGCGTAAAAGAAGCAGTTGGCCCACGTAAAAGTAAAGGCATCAATGGCGTATGCATCTGGGTCGCGATTCCATGAAGCATAAACTTCACATTTTTTATTAAGTCTATTTGCAAATAAATCAATTTGAGGGTAACCAAGATTTTTAAAATGCATTTCTAAACTCTGTGTAGTCTTCTCTGATATGCGATTCTAGGTAGTATCTTCTATATGACGTAGGGATTGATCTAGCATAATTGTGGTTTCCGTTGGTTTGGCACACACGTTAAGAACGCGAGGACCTATCAATTATCATTGATGAAAATGCTGCTAGTTTTTTCTTACTTCTTACATACTTTTTAATTAGCCGTCATCTCAACATTTACTCCTTTCTTACCCATATCATCTTTCATACAATCTATTAGCCTTTTATTTGGTCTCGCTCTCCTAATTTTTTTCATTGCCATCTATGATCATTCCCTCTTCTTACGTACATTATATTTATTAAAAATCGTCCGAGTTTTTTAACATACATTCGTTTATGACTTCTACTTCATTCTTCCTCCTCCTTGCATTGGTTTCCTCACTCCTGGGAGTCATGATCCCTATGTTAACCGGAATTCTTTTGGACTATTAAAAAACACAAAGGTACTAGTAGTAAGTAAGGCACAAAATATACATAAAATATCTTTCAATAAAATAATACATTAAAACATTCAAAATTGCTGGCTGATTCATAATCATAATTAAGCTAATTTGAATAATGAACTTAAATTCAATACTATTCTTGGAAACGTAATTAGGATTATATTGAGAAAAGGAATCAAATAATTCAAACGGTGAATAATAAATTCAGAATTCTAAGAAAATTTTAATTCAATATTATTTATTGTGTCAGTTCTGCAAAATTTGTCAATGCTTAGTCCCTGATCGAATTATGAGTTTTGACAATAATCAAAGGAGATGAATTTTGAAATTTTCAAACTCCGACACTAGTTTGTAATAACGTAGATTACTTTCCTGCTATAGACGTTAATTATACAGTTAAACAACATACAAATAGACAGATAATAATGGACAGCGATGCACTCAAAAAGGGATTCAAATAAGATTTGTTTGAGTAAAAAATCATGATGCGTAGCTTATGACATCGTTACGCAAGTCTCTTTATAGCTTAACGGATTTTACGATAAAACTATGCTCTATGTCGTAAGGTGCTGTTCGGTTCACTCGAAACTTTGCACGTTTTATTCTATGAAAAACTGTGAGGTCGTTTAAAACTGTATGTGTATTGAAAGTTTGCAGAAAACGAACACTTAATCCTTTGTGTGAATAAAAAAATTCCGTTATTAGATCTGTCGTATTAGAGAATAAAAAATTAAAATTTCAGTTAACGTCAATAAATATTTGCACTGCGAAATTGTCTTTTTATCTTCAAGAAAGCTTATTTTAAATATTCTAGTAAAAAAATAGCTATTTTCTTAAAAGACCCAAGAAACCATAAAAAACAAAGAATCTATTAAAAAATCTATTACAAGCTTTGATTTAAATAGCGATCAAAATGTATTAAGTTTATTTTAAATTTACAAATAAAAAATACCAACGTTACGACTAATCATTTGAATTCCATTCTACCATGTTACAAATGGAATAAGAACAATGCTACCAAAAGTCGGTTCCACAAACGCAAATCTCTAAAGCATTCTCTGAAATATCCTCAAAGTGGGAAGCTTTGAATGCATTAAAACTAACTACTATAAAATACCAACAGAAACTACTACCACTAGCGACTCCTAACAAGTCCGTTTGGCGTTCTGATAAAGTCTTCAAATTTTAAGTAAACTCAAGTTTTGTTAACAGAAATAAATTAAGCTCGGAAAATTTGATTTCAAACGGCACTTAAATCTGTCTCTTTAAGTAACTTGCAGACTAATGTCGCACAGTACGTAAGTGATGAAATTATTATTCTTTTTAATTTAAATTTTCGCTGTACACGATAATGTAGATTTTTAAGATATTCTTTAATAGCTTTTAAATAAAAGTTACGCTTTTATTTTATTTTTATTAGCGGCCGTCTTTTAATCACGTGAGGCTCGAAAGGGGGGGAGAGGGTTCGTAAATAATCACAAGGAGGGAGGAGGGTGTAGTAATATATCACGTTTATCAATCATCTTTTCCTCAACCGTGCGTCTACTAAACCGAAAAGTGGAGACAAAAATTAAGATTTTTTGTAGGTACAAAAAAAAAATGGGGTAGTCTTAAACCTTTTATGTACCAATGCTGAAAAAAACATCACCTGATTAATGGACGGCCCCTTACCCTATATATTTTTACCTTCTATACATTTTTGTCCTGTAACTGAAGCAATTTCAAACTCTTCTTGATGAAAACTTGGAATTATATATATGACAATTGATTGGCAAATTAAGTTTGTTTTGTGACGAGTTTTGACATCATTGCTTGAAGTTATGTACAGTATCCAAAGAATGGGTTCTTTGACTAGCGACTAACTAACTCTCTCGATATAACTATAAAAACGCTTTGAGTTTGTCAATGAATAAGTTGATAATCTTTTATAATGTTCTGGTTTTATTACTTATATAATGGATCATTGGCTGGTTATAGTAGTATTCTGAATTATGTAAATTTTCACTAAATAAAAAAAACTAATTTAGACATAAAGCTATTTCGAAAACTGAACTGAACTAAAATGTTTGATAATATTACAAATAATAATTAACATAAACTTTAGTTGTGGTTGTAGTAGTGTTAGTTTTGATTTAGTGCTCTATTTTGGGGGTAGATTTAGGGTCGCACTTAGTGTACTTATAATTATCGATTCTATATTTTGCTTGTTATCACACGTTATAATTAAGTCAAAATACCTTCATTTCTGTACTAGTTTAATACGCGCTCTCTGCAAATCAAACAATTCAATTCAAATCTGTTAAATCAAAGACGCACCGTGTGTTCGTTAGCAGCATCCTCTTCAAACACAACATATGTTTTCATTGTGTCTACTGTTTCTATTTCCGATGTAGAACTAACTACATCGGAGAATCGAATATTACTCTGATGTTTCCTGTATGATTTACAAACTAATTCATCAAACGTGAATCCCCTCAGGGACACACTCAGGTGTCCCGCTCGATCTTGAATTGGTTATAACGTTTCGTGGCAAAGGTGAATATTTTTTACAAAAAATGGAATCAACAGAATTTCTTCACTAAATGACGTGAATTCGAATTCGAGTTCGGATTTTTATAGACTCGCCATGCTTACATCATATCATTTGTTAAATAAAATAGGGCCTTTGTAAAAACAAAGGAATTCTATTTAGCCCAATAGCAAGATAATAGAAAAATATTAGATACGTATTTTTTTACTTCAATTTACAAGAAATTGCTTAGATTCTGTAATATACGTCATAAAGCATTTACGTCATACGACATTTTAACTCAATGTACTGCCGTAATTAAATACTAGTAAAAAAATTACTAGTAATGTTTTTATGTGGCACAATTTCACTCTGAAATTTAATGTCATGCAGGATTTATTTAATTCAATGAGCAGTGCGGTAATCGGTAATTTTATATTTACCAAACAACGGAACCACAAAGCTCTAACTATTTTATTCGTAAATATCATATTATACTGCTCTTCGTATTGAAGAGAGAGTAATGGTTTTCCTTTTATTCGTTTTGTTAAACTTATAAGCTGGCGCCAATATAATCTTGTTCGTGACATATTACTATTATATGGATTATTTCTCTTTATCTGGGGCGAGTAAAGGAAAACGACCAGTAAATATATATTATATGAAATTGGGTTAAAGACACGGAATAAAAACTTACAGGTGAATCATTAATGAAGAAGGAGAGCTCGGCAGGCGGCCGGCTGGGACCAGCCGAGCAGTTGGCCCGCATTATGTCCCCGGGTGTGTAGTAATGCTGACTCGTTTGGATAGAAGGTGATGACGGAGGTAGTACTGTAACAAAGTGTTTGCATCAGTTAAAAGTTTCAGTCTTAGTTGATTCTAAATTCTGTTACTTTACGATTATTCTCTTACTTTAATTGTATTCTGTCTATACCTATACATATAAAAGCGAAAAGTCACTTACTCACTCGCTCATCACAAAATCTCAGAAACTACAAGTGCTAGGAGTTTCAAATTTTGCATGGCGGTTATTTTTAGGACGAAGGTGCTCACTAAGTCGTGATTTTAAGAAATTCAATCCCTAAAAGTATTAATAGGGGATGGAAGTTTTTATGTAATTGTCTAATTTCTGGACTTAAAACAACATCACGCAGGCGAAGCCGCTGGCTAGTAGCTAATAAAGCTACATAACTTGCTGCGCCCTACCAGGGTTCATGTATAGAAACATAACTTTAATTTGATCACCTATGTTAAACCACATGAAAGCAGTAAAGTTGGATTGAATTGAAATGAAATGGATTAAACCGAATCAAAACGAATTAAATTGAATAGTCCTAAGGGTAACAGTCGACCATTTTTGTAAGTTGAACATTAAACATGACATACATATTGAAAACAATATGATTTCACTTTATAACAACAAGAAGCATCACAATAAAAAGATAAATTACAAAGCAAGGAGACCACGATAAAAACCATACGAGTTATTTGTCATGAGCGATTATCTAAATACACTTCAAGTCTATTTTCAAGTGATTAGTAATTTTATTTATCATATAATTTAATTGTGTATGACATTATTATAAGTTTGCACCATCGTTTTTGTAGTTGTTGTTGATGGACATCCAATGATTGTGTGGCAGAGATCGTTGTCAGCAGTAAGATCGTTAATTCTTGCACTTTATTGTTAAGATAGTTAATTCGTTAATTCTTGCACTGTATTGTTAAGATAGTTAATTCGTTAATTCTTGCACTGTATTGTTAAGATAGTTAATTCGTTAATTCTTGCACTGTATTGTTAAGATAGTTAATTCGTTAATTCTTGCACTGTATTGTTAATATCCATCTATTAAGCTAAGTTTGTATAGTGTTTACTGTAAAGAGTTATCATTATTATTATTCAAGGGCGTGTCCTGTTTGCGTTGACGTGAGAAATAGTCTGAAAATGCTTTGGCTAGACTTACCAACAACCTCCATAGTGTTAGAGACGATAGAAGTAGCGAAGGAGGGTGCATCAGCTGTCACCTCACAGCTGAAGTTTCCAGACAGCCCGAAGCTAACCCTTGTGAGCACCACCTGACTCTGATTGGATCTGGCCAACTGTATAGAAGATAAGTTTTTTATTTTATTTATTGTGGAAATATTTTATAGAATGATTTTTAATTGGTTACTAAGATCTTGCTGTATTAATCAACGGGAACAATCAATGCAATAAAAACATGCTTGACGCGGGCTCTGTGAGGATTGGAGCGAAATAACGACTCCAGATGTCCAACGGGATGTCCAGTCGGAACCAACGGCTTAACGTGCATTCAGAAGCATGGAGGAGCTCGAGATAATAAATTTTTGGTCACCCATCCTATAACCAGCCAATATGAAAGTTACTTAACAACCGTATCGCAGACCGAGCGTGCCATCGAGCTCCTCGCTTGTAAATCAGAAGAGCATAATTAAAAATACATTTATGTAATCTATCTAAAATACTATTCTCTAAAGTGGCAAACTTGGTCTTTAATTGAAGCCACTTTTAAAATCGACATTCAATATAACTTGGACTGCTTCGTCATCTCCTGTTCATGTTACATCGAAAATTGGTTTCAAGAGTACAGCTCTTGGACTAATTGGAAATTACGCAATGTATAAATATTTATGCTTACGAGAATCTGGATAGGATTTTCATAATGTAACTAAATATCTTTTTATTAAAAAAAATGTCATCACCATTCACCTGCCTTCGATTTTATGTCGCTGCGAATGTCTTTTTTATTCAAATATTATTTTTTCTATTAAACATCATAATAAATACTCTAATTATGCAGATGTGACGTAAGTCTATCCTTAATTTTACAGAACAAAAAAATCGTTGTAAAGCGTAAAAATAAATTATAAAATACTCGTTGCAGTCACATTCAAATGTAAATAAAGTCGCTAATGAAATTGTACAAAAGAGATTTATTTTATTAACACAATCATTCACTAAATATAAACGAGATACCCTTTAAATATCCGGCAACCACAACAAAGTGGAACGTTTTAAACTTCATCAGACAAAGGGGATATTCTTCAGAGACTTTCCTGAGTTTCAAAAGTTTCGCGAATCCTCCTTTCTACGTAAAAGGAGCAAAGCGGCTCATAAGGTTATTATCGCTGCGAAATAAGGCGTCGGCGATAAGGGGTTGGATTTATGGAGGAGTGCCGCGATGTAGACGGCAAATGATAGCTTGGTAAAAAAACAGGGGTCAGAGTGTTGCCGGGACGTGGAGACCGTGAAATTGTGTCCAAACTATGAGGTCAACTTTACCGAAACATTTTAGGTATTCTTAGGTAAAAATATGTAGTTTAGTTTAGTGTAATTTTCGATAAAGATCTCTAATGTTGCCAAGATAATTAAAATTTCTTGCATCCTCTAGGAACATCTAGGAACATAGAGTTCCAAGGACAAAGAGGATTTTTTAAGCTTCTTTAATTAAGAATATTTTTCACTTTAGATTTGTGATTGCACAAATGATCAAATATAATAATTAGAATAAATTTTTATCTTTTAAAATTTGGATTGCCTGAACATTAATCTGAACCTGAATACGCTCTGTAGTAGCGAAAAAGTAATAAGTGCTTGAAAAATTCGTCAGCCCTTTTATGTCCTCGGTAGCTCAGTGGTTCGAGCAGTCGCCCGGAATGCGAAAGGTCATGGGTTCAAGTCCCATCTCGGAGTGCCAGTGACCAAGTGGATTTTTTTAGCATTTTTCATTAGAATAATTTTCAGTATAGCATTGTCAATACGAAATTGATCAAATATATAAATAAAATACATAATTTTTGTTGAACATGTTAAAAAAAATACACGTAAATTGCTAAGATTCCAAGATAAGAAACTGAATGAATACCCAGTATTATGGAATATCTGAGACAAGGAAGGTACCACAACGCCTATACCCGAAATAATATAGATAAGGTTATTTTCTAAATTTACTCGATGACCACAGAGGTCATTTTACATAATTATTCAGTATACTTCGTCATTATAATTGTAGACGATTATAATAAGGTGATTGTCAGGCAAAAACTAGACGATTGAAAATTTTAATAAAAAAATAAACGTAAAATAAACGTATAAATGTTTCTACGACTAATATAAACTATGACTACTGACATTTAAGCTTTAATTGATAGTTAAGTATTTTTACATATAAAAGACAACATCATGTAAAACATTGCGTCCTCACATTAAATAGTTAAAGCACTTGTATTAAACAAAACCAGAACTAATGAAGGTAGTACAACACCCAGACATGAGACTAAATAAAAAATGATTATCTAAAAATGTCCTATACAGACTCCGAATCATTCTAACAAAAATAGAGATAGCACAAAAGGGTTAGAGTTATGAATATCTCCTGAGCGTGTGACGGTAACTGATGGCTTTGTTCCAAAGAAAAACGTGTGTCACACCGGGTAAATTACCAGGCTTTTGCAATTGCTTGCACGGACGACAATTTGGTGCTGATTTTTCACGTTGTTGAAAATTCTTCACGCTGGAATGGAAAAAATACGTAGCGTACATTTATTTATTCTTTATTTCATGAAAGAAACAGAAATAGAAACAGAAACTTAGGCATTATCTACCAGTAAATCCGAATGGATGTTGGAAATGTAGGAGATTTTTTGGAAGCTGGTAAGCAGCTTGATTTTCAAAAGTATAAAATTTTATTTTATTTTAATAATGTCGTAATCTTCAATCTGATAATGTTCTTAATATTAAGACTTAGATCTATCCCGAAGAAAAAGTGACACGGGGAAATAGATCCATAACCTACAACGCGAGGCTAGTAAAAATATACAGATATTGATGATTACAATTAATAAGATTACGGGTCTTCGAATTAATCCACTACTTACTGCACTATCGAGCTCTTTCTTCAGACTTTAGTTAGTTAGTTTATACAGCTAACAAAACCACTCTTCACTGTGGTGAAATCCAAATACGTGTCTATTGAAACTTTTGGAAACAAAACGTATAAAACGATGGTATCAAAATGGAATATTGTGTGTTTGCGATTCAATGGATCAACTACTTTTTGAATAACTATTACGTTTGAATCCTTTAGACACACATGTTTCAATCTGGAGTTAGTTTAAATCGATCATCTAAATATCCATTCCAAATACAGAAACATATCCAAAACACCGAATGGTACGACAACTATTATTGACCTATCAAAAGTTTAATAATATCAACACGATATTGATATAAATGAATTATTTGTTGAATTTTATTTTTTCAAGTTAATTCTCTTAGAAATCAACACATGAAAATAATGTCACAATTAATGTTTCACGAAAAGGAAAGAAAATTATGGTAGCAGACATATTTAGTGCCACGGAAGATTTTTCAACACAATATTTCACCCAGAAACCATTTTCCTCAAGAAAAAATTCTACATTGGGCCATAATAAATTGTGTTGCGAAATCAGTTAATGTATACATAGTTCACACACACTGCAAGCGATGCGACAGTCATAATATAGTAAATGCTATCAACAATATCATCAGCCTTGAGGATTTTTTAATTTAATTTCTTCCATATTCTCTTCTATGGTTTAGCCAGTGTTTAGCTGCCATATTTGTTATATCCGATCTCTGTACTGTATTTCGTATTCTACGGCATTTTCTTCCGGTGGAATTGATGAGGTTTAAATTTTGTAGCCTTTTTTATAAAAGATAAGCGTTACTGACTAATTAACTGTCTGTCTATCAACACACAGCTCAAACTCCTAGACGGATTGAGTTGTTTGACACACTAATAGAGGCATTATTATGGCATATACGCATTTACGTTCTTACCTGTGGTTCACGCGCCGGTTTCAAAGTATCGCCATGTCTGAGGTCCTGTGTTCGATTCCCAATCGAGTCAATGCAGAAAATAGCCTTTTCTATATTGTCTCGGGTCCGGGTTTTGTGGTACAATCATGGTCTCAGATACTCCATATTACGAGACTTTTGCTATTCATTATGGAATCTGAGCAATGTGATGTGATGTTGTCTAATATTTATTTATTTATTTAAAGACACCCGTTTTAAAAGAATCGTTTATTTTAATAACCTGTAGAAATTTATTAAGTATTTATCTTTAAGATAATAACTATTAGGTGAATAATCGTTATTACATAGCTGTATGGGTCACCTTAAGCATGAGTTAGGCCATTCAACCGATACCACGCCATTTGCACCATTTTGATTGGTCAGGACAGTCTGTTACGTACAATATTAGGTAGGTATATAAATTACAGTTAGTTGTTATATTTCAGAAAATTTACTTCAAATGCTTATTTATTGTTTAAATTCAGTGAAGTGCTTCTGCCCACTTTCCACTCCATGTGTTAATTACCTAATGAACATCCCCCGAAGCGTTTCACGAACAGGACATTTGTTTATATTAAACAATTAGAATTGTGCTCACCTGTCTAATGTTAGGAATATTGAAATAATATTGTCTATATTTATAATTTACAGTATTCATTCATTATAAGTTGACTTGTATTTATATTTACTTTATTTTTAATAAAAAAAAATAACGTCAAGGGTAAAGAGAAGGCCAATAGAAATTGGCATAAGGACTAGCGAATGATGAAGTTATTTTATATGACCTAACCTATATCTTATTACTCATAGCTAACTCTGGATGCAAGCTTGATCATGCATCATGCGATCCAGCAGGAGTTCTTGACAGTTCTACAAGGACAAATCATCCGCCATATGGAGTGTCTTTCCTTCGAAATTCATTCGAGTTATGTCATAGTTTGCAGACTTTTAGTGCAGTACAATGTATCGATAGTGAGTTTTATCGACCCTACTTTTTGAAGTGTACTCTTTCCACCTATTTACCAGTGGCTTTGCCCATCTGGTACTGCAGGCTTTAGGTAGAAAGTACATTGGTAAAATGAAAGTAGTTGAGGTTCTATTGAGATGCGATTATTACGTAAACATTAGCCAAATTGGCCTGCTATATTAAATTTAAACCTTCCTCTTGAATCACTCTATTTGTTGTTGAAATGGGCAATAAAATCCGTTGAGTAGTTTTAAATATCTCAGCGTACAGATAGCGGGAAGCGACTTTATTCTGTATCGAGAAAAGGTTTTCTTTGTTTTATATATACGAAAGAATTAACCACACCCATGAATAGTGTCACAAGAGTAAGACTTAACCGTAAAGGCAACAATTAAAAAGTCCACTTAAATTAATTCATTTTGCTTAGTTTAATTTAAAAATATTTCATTGATTGCATCAAAACCATTCTTAGTTAAAATTATTTATAGTAAATGATCAAACACCTATTTTAAATGATATTCCTAATTTTATTGTAAATAATAAGTATTATTATCTTTATACAATATTAAGCAAATAAAAATTATTTGCAAACATAATTCATTTAACGCAATTTAAGAGTTCCTTTAAAGAGTTATTAATTTAAATTACTTAGCCACCTCATACGTAATATATATTTAAAATATTATTATCAAACATCAATCTGTTCCATATGATACAAATTATCGATAGCAAGAATGTCGAATATTCGCAGCACTAACGAAACCGTATAACGAGACATAAAATTCTAGAGAAAGCCTAAAACAGCCATAATCTAACTTTCTAAATAATTTAATATCTTAATTGAAAAATATATCTTTTTAATGTATCCTAATAAGAAAATATTTCTTAATAAAAAAACAGAGTTGCTGGAGTTTTAATCAAAGTAATTATTTTTATGCGCAAAAAAAACTGTGAAGTTGTAAATGAGAAGATAATTTATCAAAAGCATGCGTTCACTAAGAATTTTACTTGTGAAAGTAGTGACTGGGTGTTGTAATATATTGTTATTGCTAGATATACACCTCGGATATGATATATTTTCTGATAACATAATATAGTAAGTATTTAATTAAAATTCCAATTCGTGTTTTACTCGATTAATATTTATAGCTGGTGGAAAAAAAAATTGTAAGAGTTGCGTTGTTTGTGAGTTTTTCATCTAATTGTATATGCATAAATATCATACACGATGCATAATTTTATGACTATAATTACATTTATTGTTTGTTTGTGCAGAGCTTTAACAATTATAAAAATATGATTAGCATCTTCCACAACTTAGTAGCTACAAGTATTAATTAATTTTGCTAAATTTAAATAACGTGCAATATATTTCAAAGTATTTTATCACGAATTCAGTGTCGCTCCCATAATAAAAATTGTTGGGTATATTTAACTTATCAACCCTACGAAGTGCTGGCATTTAATAATATTACACTTTGTAAAAGCTTGTCACTATTATTTTTCTAAAAATAAAATATAGAAAAAAAAATTATTGATAAGAATAATATAACAAAAAGCGAGAAATCTCTAATGATAATTTGATATCGAGATAGTGTATGAGTAACATAATACAGAGTACATACATCGACGTTGATCCCGGCAAACGGAAATATCTTCGTCGCGGGCGTCTCCGTCGGCGAATATCTGTAGAACTCGTGACGTCCTCTGTACCACTTGACGCTGTATAGTGGCGCGTCAGTTAACTCGTATAAACACGCCAGAGTTGCGTCAGACCCCCTCTGTACCACGGGGGGTGATATCCGAAGCTCTATAGCTCGAAGGCCGCCGACTCCTGGAAAAATACATGACCTTAGAATCTCTTGGGGTAAAACTATCTACAAATGTGTAATGGTCTAAAGTAATAAATGTTTATCTAATGCTATAACAGCGCTTTTTACAGACAAGCATAGTTAAGGTTTTGTTTTTAATTATTTATTTCACATCAGTGCTAGCTAGATATTGAAGGGAAAAAGTAGTTCTCGCAATTAAAATAGATGTCACTGTGTTCTTTGAGTTAAAGACAACTCTACTGTCAATCTAACAGCCAGTTGCACAAACAGCCATTACAATTGCCATTACTTTAAAGTGACATTACCCATATAAATTACATTAATTAGAGCTTAAAAGCGTTATTAAACCTTCATGGACGTTTGTGCAACTGAAATTATAATTACAAATTCTTCTTACTTATACTTCTTTATAATTACAAAAGTGAAAATTAAATTTGATAATGATGGGTTTAATCTAGCTTCAGAAATGTTTAGACATTATACCAATAACAGTTCTATTGTAATTTTATTTAGGGATTGTATTTGTTGATGTTGTCATAAATCTTAATTTTTAACGGCGTTCGTGCGTACGTAGTAATGTGCCTTAAGAAGCATTAAAATATCTAGTATATTTTATAAATAATATCAAACATTACGTATATTTTAATTAATTTTATAATAACAATGATAAAGTCGTCTTCATCTCGCTACTACATAAAATAGCGTAATTTTTTAGGAAATCAGCCCGAATAGCCGCCTAAAAGGGTTACTATGAATCAAAGAGACAATAGACTCATGATTCTGTGAACCACTCATAAATCTGGAAGTCTATAAAAATTATTTATGGTAATCTAAAAGAAAGAAGAAAATCCCGTGAAATTATGATAAATTGAGAGGCTCGAATGAAGAGACGTTACATTTAAGCTCCTATTTATTTTTCACACCGACCGGCTCCGTCTTTATATATATATTATAAATTGACTGTCTGTTTTAAGTTAAGATTGGTTATTTTATAATTTTAGCTGTTCCGACGTCTATATATATAAGTAATACAATATAAATTAACAGAATATCTAATGATTTATGTATATATATCGTCATTGCGGCTTCTATGGGAGGTAGGCTGGTAGAATGACAGAGCTTTTACTATCAGATAATGTCCAATTTAAACTCTAATGTAATAAGTTTTTACTTTAAAACACACTTTTTATTTTTTACTAGGGATATTTTTATGTTCCCGGCGACTCGGTCACGGCTACCCGGGTCTCATCCCCAGGGGAGGGTACACCTTAGGGGTTTTTGTGGGTAGGCCTTCGGGAGCCCACCGCGCGGCTAGCCACGGGGTGGGCTCACGTAGGAGAGTCCCACACACCCCCTGTCGCTTGCCGGGCAGCAGGGGATATTTTTATGTAATAAATAAGAATGCGTAAGGTGCATGAGTTCAATATAATGCACTACTTTCACTATGCAACAGTGAATTCACGAAAAAAACTGCTGTTTAATACTGTTAGTAGGTATGAAAATTCTGTATGAAACAGCGGCTTATTTTTAGTGAATTCAATGTTGCTGCCATAGTAAAAGTTATTTAGTATATATAACTCATCAAATCAAAATCAAAATTATTTATTTAGTCTAGGCTGTTACAAGCATTTGTGAAAGTCGAGGGCTACGCCATCGGTTCGTAAATCTACGGCGGGAGACCTTGTACCGCGAAGAACCGGCAAGAAACGCGGCAAGAGCGGCTTTTCTCTCCCTGTTTTATATCACACAGAGCGTCAAGTTTTAAAAAATGACTGAATTAAAATATGAAGTCAAATAAAAAAGTAAAACAGTATTAACGTCAATCGAATCACATGTCTACTCAAACATTAAATTATTTATCGTATATGATATTTATGCAAATACAATTAGATGAAAAACTCACAAACAACGCAACTCTTACAATTTTTTTTCCACCAGCTATAAATATTAATAAATAATTTAATATACGATAAATAATTTAATATACGAGTACATAAAAATGAGCCATATACACCAAGCAGTTTTGTAGTTTAAATATTCATTTACAGTATAATATCCTTTACTGAGTAGACAATTCTTAATAATGAGTTTTCCATACACCTAACGAAGTTCTGGCACATAATATTACACCTTATATTTGTAACGTGTATTAAATGTATTCATTGGCAGCAGTAGTATGTGTAGTATAAAATTTATTCGACAAAAACACGGTATCATAAAGTGCGGCATATTAAAAGGATTTTCCAAAAACCAAGCACCATATTTCGGTCACGTTTTCTATGTTCTAGATTTGCAAGCTAAATTTCGGAACAATTGCGCGTATGTAATCCACCCAGGGTGTTATTTTCAGACGTTGTATGTTTAGTAATTTCAAACACTGAAATTTCTGTGTTTATTTTTTGTGAAATCTGAGTGTATCTGAGTTTTTAACGACATATTTGTTATACTGAGGAACTCGATGGCATTTGGTTAGCTTAGGGCACTCGGTTTGCGATACGTTTATTATGCAACTTTCGTAATGGTCAGTTATAGGTTGGTGATCGAAAATTTACTATCTCCAGCTCCTAAGTGCTTCGGAAGGCACGTTAAGCCTTTAGTCCCGGCTGCATCCGTTATTGTTAATACCCACCAATCAGTACTGGGCCTTGTGATACGTCATAGCCCATTTTCCCTATTCAATTAGATTCGATTCCATCCATAGGGAAGGCCTGAGCCCCAGCAGTGGTGACATTAATAGGTTGCTGATGAAGATGATGTTTTTTTTTTGAAATGGAGTCACTAAGACCTAAAAAATATGTTGTGACTTTGTGACTTTGTAGTCCTTTCAGTCTGATAGCCTCTAAAAAACTTTATAATGTTCCTTGCTTTTTGTGCCTTCTAGGCTGATTATATGTAGTTCTAGATATATTTCGTCATTTTTACGTTTGTGGATAAATTAAGTTATATTACTTCTACTTATAATTTAACATATTTTTTGACGTTGTGTCAGTAAAGAACATCCTTTTATGTATAGAATGGACAACGGTTTTGGAAGACGCGAATCTTACGAGTAGTTTCTACAAAGCTTAAAAACTTGAAATCAACACAAAATAATATCGCGCCATTTGAAAAGAGCTATATAATATACAGGACTGCCAAATTAGGGAACTTGCATGTACAGGAGCGCTCCGTGCATGGCACGCTTTAGCAATGGTCAGTGACTAAATGAGGGTGTTTTTCGTATTACTCAATTTAAATATTACTTTACAGACATTTTTGATGCTTCTTGAATTGTTATCATATGGTTGCCTGCAACGTCTTAAATTCAATAATAATAATAACAGTTTTATCGTTACCAATCCAATTATACAGTCATAATATATTTTTATAAGTATGCACAACACCCTATTTATTTTATTATACAAACGTAACCCTTGGAAGTAATTTAATTTTCTAATAAGTTTCGAATTGACTCCTCCTAACTCCTTACTATATCTTTAATTGATTAAGGGGTTGTGATGGTGGGTCTCAAGCTGAGGGCGTGGTCGGAACCTGGTATGCGCATAGTACGTGGTTGATTCGAGTGACTGATCCTAAGCATGGTCAGGCAGGGTATGATGATGCAGACACAGTCTGATGAAAAATAGACTAAAAAACCCTAAAATAAATCCCTTTTAGCCACTGTATACAAGTCTTAATCAAAACACTAGAGAAAAATACAATTTATTTCCTCCGGAAAACGTTTTCGTCTCGCCATAACAAACAGTAATATATATTTTCTTATTCTATTCTTGTGCTATAAACGAAATTGCTGTAAGCATTACTCACTAAATTTCCCAAAAGGCAAACAAAAATAAGGCCAAATATCTGAAATAAATCGGCGTTCCTTTGCCACCTGCGCCTCGTAGCTTCTCTTTTTAATTACAGTCCATTAAAAATAATTTTATTATTTCGACACCCGCAAAGAAACAAATCATTCTTAATGAAACATTCTTAAAAAAAACAATTTGTCCCTGGCACACTGAGAAGGGTCTCGAACCCATGACGTTTCGCATCCGGGCGACTGCTCTAACCACTGAGCTGCCCAGGACCAATGATTTTTTCAAGCATTTGTTACTTTTTTCGCTACTATTTTATTTTTATTAATTTTCAGGCATTAATGAAAGATTTTTTACAATAAGTAGGTATTTAAACTTTCGATAGATATTTTTCAGTATAGAATTGTGAAAGCAAAATATAATACTTAGAAATAAATTAGTTCTTCACGGAAAAATACATGGTGATTAAATAACTCACAGTCAAAACTACGTCGGAGGAGCTGCATCGCGCAGCGCGTTCGGTCGGCCGCTTATAAGATAGGTGACCAAAAATGTTATGTGTCAAACTCCCTCGTTCTTCGGAAGACTCTTTAAGCTGTTGAATCTGGTTGTATCTATTTACTGCTGGTGTGATGAAATCAAATATTTCAAAACAGCTGGTGGGCTTTGACACATTCTCAATATTTGATTTCATCCCTAAGAGCAGGTTGTACCCCCAGTATGGACATCAAAGACTGATACTGCCCAACAGAAAGATTATTTTTATCACATTTGTTTTTTTTTTGATGTACTCGTTTCAAAAATAAAAGTGATTTTTGTGTAGCAGCTTTAGTTTATAAAAATTTTCAAACTACCCGCATTTTAGTTGACAGTGTATATTCAGTGAGTTTCAACTAGTGTAATATTAATATTTTCACAATAATAAACGATGGCTGCGAAGAAGAGACAGTCTAAACAATCCAGACAGTTTCTGTGTTATTTTTTTGTTCGCGAAGTATCGCATATCGATCACAGACTTCGTTAAATCTACAGAAACCATGAGTTTTGTGTTGTATGCCAAAATTGTGTTGTATTAGACAGTAGTCAAATGGAAAAAGATCTGCTTAGTGCAGGATTTTTCCATGACCTGCACTTAAGTTCTGGCGGGAACCTCCTATGGTTTTTATATCGTCAACATGACGGGTATAAACTCTGCAAACCAGGATAAATAAAGAAATGACGTTGTCTGCTGCTCAGAGGCCCACTACACACTGTGACCAATCACTAGTACCAGTACCGTCGACATCATGAACAAGCTTGGTATTAAAAAGCAATTTGTTAAAGCCATTAATAAAGATGGCGAATGTTTTCCTTATTTCGCGATGAAAATCCTGGAATGGACAACTGATAACAGATCTAAATTTTGTCGAATCTTGAACTTGAAATGAGAACCTGAAATATTTCGTTTTAGAGATCCAAAATTTTTTAGGGATAAATCAGATTTTTTATTTTACAATTCGTTTACGACATGTTGTCTGATTTAAAACTTATAGGGCATAATAGGGCGTAACATGAGCATTGAACTACATTATTAACATTCTCATTTGGATCGATTTCCTTTTAGATTATAGTGAAGAGCAAGGTGAAAGACATCACCAGGAATATTCGCACAATGGAAGAACGTTATAACGACATATATGGCCGACTGGTGCTAGAATCTTTGTCGGAATCCAATACAGGCACCTCATTCAAAAAATCTTATAAAATCAATTTTTCCCCCAACAGTTATCATTTCAAATAAACTGTGTAAAAAATATCATACATTTATATTAATTTGTAACACGTGTGTTGATTTAAAACTAGACCTGTTAGAAAAAGAAAACAACGGTATTTCCATTACCAGTATACTTAATTTAACTAAAACAGCCAGACATATACTGGATTTTCTTCTAATTTATACAGTTCGCTTCACGAGGTTGTAAAAAAAATTCCCTCTAATGTTTATATTTGATCCATTTTTCATACACAATGTTATAGTGGAAAATATTCTTAATGAAAAATGCTTAATAATCCATCAGCCCCTGCCACTCTGAGATGGTTGTGAGTCCCATCGCTGCGTATCTAAGGTAGGTGGATTTTTAAACATACGAGTATTTCATTAAAAACTTGCTCTCTTCTTGATTTTAAGCTTTAACGTATGGAGGGTAGATCACAAAATCGGGAATTTAACTTAAATCACTAGTTAAAATTTTACTTAAAGTGTGCCGTAATAGTTGTATCCCTAGGATTAAAATTATATACCGGTACATAGTTATACGAATGCAATTTAGGTATTCTGTATGTCGCAGAATTATGATCTAAATCTGGAGAATGATAAAATTTTATTGGCGGAAATTAAGTTTTTAAGACACGAACTAAACTCTCCTATATGATTTACTACTTACGTTATAGATTAGAAATTTAAGTCGATAGCTAAGCGTAGTAAAAGTTTAGAATGGATGTGGATTATATGGTAGATTTATAACTGTATATTTAAGATAAGTTTAGTAAGATAACCGTATAACTTAATTGCCTACGTAAGTTAGCAATCTTTCGGTATATAATTAAATGTCTAGCGATATAAATATATCACGCCTCCATCTATTTTACTGCTGCGTATACAATATAATATTAACAAAATTATTAAATAGTGAAAATGAAACAATTCAGTTATAATATTAATCTTATAAAAATACTTAAAAGTTCAGCTGTCTTAAGTACCAGTGATCTTTCCTTGACGAGTGTTCTTCACAACAAATCGAGTGCTATCCTTTCATATAAGTTCATAAATCATCTTCTTTTATGTAAAAAAGTTAACAATACGATGTCAGATAAGAATTTTTTGAATATGATATTATGCATGTATTATTTACTTTTTTATCATTTTTAACTTATTTATAATTATCATTGTATGACAATAGAATAAAAATGTTATAAAAAGAACTTTATAAACACATTGTTTCTTATGCCATCAATACTATATACTTTAAGATAGGTGACAGATTCTTTTAGTTTGTCTATTCCTATTAAAACAAACATGGCATTATTTAAATAATAAAATAAATAATAAATAAAAATTGAATTTATTTTCCTCACAAATACAGGAACATGGTTACATGTTTATTGACTAAACACAATTTACAAAAAGAAGATTGCCTGTCGACTTTGTGAGGAACTGGTGTCTGTAAGGGGCGATAGCCTGAAATACAGATCACCAGGACCCACCAGGATCCAGGTTATTTATTATTTAAGAATAATACATATCGATTTATTAATATGTAAACATTATTTTCACATAAATAAAAACAAGCGCCAGAAAAATTTGTGTATCAATTGCTAAAATTATATTTAAGTCAAACGCAAATTATGTTTTTTATATCAATATACAGTTTCGTCAAAGTATATTTTTGAAAATATAATAATCACAACACAATTTGGAACGTAAAAATTGTTTGAGCATCGATGGAAATATGTTCAATGGAATGGAACGGAAATTAATCAGTCTTAATAAGGCCTCGCGCAGCTTAATTGATTAGCGCAGGATTGTGAAAGATAACGGATTCCAATATTTATCTAGACGATATATAATAAGGGTGATTCCTAGCTAAAAAAAGAAACACTATGTAGTCCGTCAGTTAGATAATAGAAAAATATTAGATACGTATTTTTTTTTGCTTCAATTTAACGAGAAATGGCTTAGATAATATCGCTACTTCATCATGTAGCGCCGTACTTAATTGGTTACGCAAATATATTATATGGTAGTACGAGTACGAGTAGCTCGGTGGCATAGTGGATAAGAGCCGCGGCCCGCGATCGTTGTTGTTAAGCAACTTTCGCAAGGGTCGGTCACAGGATGGGTGACCAAAAAATTATTATCTCGTGCTTCGGAAGGCACGTTAAGCTGTTGGTCCCGGCTGCACTTGCAGTCGTTAATACCCTCCAATCCGCATTGGGCCAGCGTGGAGAATCATGGCCCATCCACATTAACCATCCATAAGGAAGGCTTGAGCCCCTGCAGTGGGGACGTAAACAGGCTGATGATGATTCTTTGGTAGTTTGATATTCTTTAGTTACCCTTTCCTTCCTTTTTGAAATCGATGTAAAATAAATAAAGACAACAAGAACAATCACGGGCCGCTTATGTTCAAAGACAAGGACAGATAATATCAAATTTTGACGTCATAATCTCAGTAAGCCGTAAACGTTGCGCGGGAGGCAACGAGGGACAGAATGCTTCTCCGTCCCAATTCAGCTACATTATTTTGAAAGCGAATAATTAAAGGGCTTTGAATATTTTGTTTGTCCAACGAAACCGACATTTTCTTTGTTTTAGGGTTCCGTATTTAAAGAATAAAACGGGACCTGTCACTAAGACTTCGCTGTCCATTCGTCTGTCTGTCACCAGGAACTATTATAGGTAAACAGTTAAAATTTTCTCAGATGAAGTATATTTGTTGTTGTTTTAACAAGAAGTAATATAAAACAGTATAAAATAAATATTGAAGGGGCGTCCATACATGGAACATGGATTTGTTTGACGGTTTTATTGATAATAATAAGGAACACTTCGTACTCGAATCCGCTCGCGCTTGATCATTCTTTCTTTAAGTTGCCAATTAAATAATCTCTCTTCCAAACCGAGGGACAGTAAAAATTAAATAACATTTTTTATTATCAACAAAATTCAAGAATGGATGAGGATGATTCAAACGAGTTCAAGAGATACAAGTTCTAAGATATTCAAAAGATAATATTCAATGTTACTACCAAGCGGGCCCAGAGCGGATTGGTGCTTGAGTAATGACTGGTGGTGGTAAAGTTATGACTGTTGATGCCGAGGGAACCAACGGTGTAACGTGCCTTCCGAAGCACGGAGTAGCTCGAGATTACAAATTGTCGGTCCCCCATCCCGTGACCGACTCTAGCGAAAGTTGTTTAACAACAACGTACGCGGGCCGCGGCTCTTATCCACTACGTCACTGAGCTACTATTGCTTTAACTAGGCTATTATAGACAATTAAACAACTAGATTCTTACCAACTACATCCAATCGCGCTGTAGAAAGCGAGTGAGGATAGGACGGCGCATTCTGTATCACCTCACAGCTGTAGTTGCCGCTCAGCGCGACCCCGACGTGGAGTAGCACCACATGCGTTTCGTTAGACCTTAACCTCTGCAAAGAAAAAATAAAATACGTATTTTGCCGATCACCAATAAAATAAATCAGACAAGAGCAAGTAAACGATGAAAGCAAGGAAACGAAATCATGTGCAAGATAAACACTATTGCACCTTTCCTCCTTTCATGTAAAAATATAGTTAAATGTCAGCTCATATCTGATGAAAAGCTGTCAAGCATATCTATCGTACGGCGACAGACGGCATCTGTTGAATTTCAAATTAATATCTGTTTTAACGTTCGACGATGGATGATTCGCATTTTTCGTTAGATATGTGCCGACCGTGAAAGGCATTTGGTGTGTGTATTTTCGAAGAAATAGAAAAAAAAACTCTTATTGTAAAAAATGTGAAATATCAGTTTATTGTTCAATTTATTGATAGCCGAAAAGAAAATATACCAGACTCCCTCGAGTTCACATTTTCCAATATTAATAAAGCATTTGTTAATTTTTCCCACGCGCGCACAAAATTGTTTATATTATTAAAATTCGCAATGTTCGAACACGGTGTAAGCAGTTTAAAATTAAATATTGGTCTCTTAATAATACGGTCTTTATTAATATTTTAGAAATACTTAAGAAGAAATTGAAAGATGCCACCATTATTTTGTTGAAAAAGTTTATATTATCATTGTTTGTGAAAAAAAAAAATATATTGACTTGTAAAATTTTGCAGTTGCATTTCGAGTAAGTTATAGTCCAATGATTATTTTGAAATTAGGGTATAATCCATAGAATTTCAGATTACTACAAAAGGTATTTGCAATAGATTGATTTTTCATAGTTAAGTTAAAAATTTCTTCCAGATATTTATCATTCTGTAGTAACTTAATTTACTGTTTTATGCCTATGTCATTTGAAAGATACTTTATGCTCAAGTAAAATATTAAGTTCTGATGAATGTGAGAAATATGTGAATGAGTAAGCCATAACTCACAAACGACTTAGGCTAGGTTACGTAAGAACAATAACCAACACAATGTGCAAGTTAAGCGAGCGAAGCGAGCATGCCTACCGCGGTAGCACAGCTGGCAATATGCCATGAAAAATTTGACTACTGACTGATATAACGGCCTGTAACTTTTAACCAACGTATATTCCTAATTCTAATGAATATTTTGCTATTAAATTCCGTAAAACTTATTATGTTAGTGTCCATTATTGACATTGAAAGTGAAATTAAATAAACTGTTTTTTTTTATATGAGACAAATCAAATCATATGATGAATTATAAATTGGAAACGCTATTATTGCAAAAATTTCACTGAAATTTTCTGAAGTGAAAACAAAATCTGGACCCCCACTCATCAAAACAAATCCTGTAGAGATCAAATCTGGCGTATGTTAGGTTGGCACAGAAGTTGTATCCTTGCCAAGTGTTATCGATTTGTCTTAAACCGGTTCACTAGAATTCCATGCTACAATTATAATAGTGGTTCTTCTCATCTTATAATAACATGTCGATGAATGTCTTATTTACGTATCTCCTGTTTATAGAGCTATCATTGATGCTAAAACTAATGCTAGTGATTCAGAATCTCTCATTGAACTGCCACAAATAAATTATGTAACTCGTATAAGAAGATTAGGCGAATGGGTAACAAACGACCCAACACTGTGACGTCACAAATAACATTGTAATTTAGTACAAGCAAAATTGTGCCCTACGCAATTCGCATTAGGAAGAAGCGTTTCAATTTAAATTTAGAGCCTCTTTATGAAATAAATTCGTCCCCTTTTAGCTGCTTAATTTTCTAAAATTTATGTAAATCCAAAGTAAAATAAATTTCTACTATTCAAACACTTTCGGTCTCCCAAATTCCAACTGCAAATTCAATCGTGAAACACGTTTCGGGTAACAAACTAGGTCATCTGGATACTCACATCGATTTTGATTCCATTAACTGGCAACACTCTCGTGTTTGGATACTCCAGCGGCGAATATCTGTAGAACTCTTGAGCACCCTTGTACCACTTCACCGAATAGACACCGTAATCGTGGTTCTGATATAGGCAGGCCATAGTGACATTTCTGCCTTTTTGAGCGACTCGGGGCGTAATCCTCAGCTCTGTGGTACGGAGGCCGCCTGCTTCTGTGAACAAAGAATGACCGGTTAGCCGCTCCTTCGATTTTTCTATTTTAATAGCACAAAATAAGCATAGAGGTGGTGTACTATTATCGAAACCGCGACGTAAGCTTCATTTGGCTGTGTTATTACGTAAACAGTAAAGTCACTTTTTGTAAATTACTACTTCCACCGACATTGATAATAATAAATAAAAAGTTTTTCCAACGTAAATTCTTACGATAAAAGGTAATTTGTGAGCACTATATTAGAAAAATAAAATAAAAAGTAAAAATAATACACGAAACTTGTATTAAAGTAAAGGCGGGAATTGGGTGTAGGTTGACTATATTAACCACATGTAAATCGATAATCTAGTAAAATAAAATAAATACTAATATACATAAAAACATAGAGTTACATCAATACTAAAGTATAAACGAGCACACACACACACACACACACACACACACGCGCGCGCATAAACGCTTATGGTGCATGAAATGCTTGATTTGTAAATTAAAGGTGTTAAAACTTCATGTTACGGAAGAGAGGGTCCTCCTCATACAGGCATCTTAGAATGTTTACTAGGATCGACTAGGATACTACTATATGTACTCTTTAAAATTAGAATGAATAAACATTTTTGTTATTTTTTACCTTACTTTTTTCGTATTTCTTGAGTACTTCTTTTAAAACCGGTTAAATTTCAATGTTATATATCTTCAGATACCTCAATAGTGATAATATTAATAAGCTCGCTATGATGACGATGGCATTTATAAATTTAATAAATTATCCATAAAATATTTTTCAGTATAGACTTTTTTTATTGATAATTTTATCGATAAACAAACTATCGATATTAAAACATCACTTTTTTTCCCTGGCAACGTATAGAACAAACCTTCGGAAGAGAATCTTAAGAAACTTTATAACTTTTAACAAGACGCTTGAATATTTATTTATCGTCAATATACAACGAGGAACATGTGTTTACCTTGTTTATTTTCATATTACAATATAATAACTTTTATTATATGCCCTCGTAAATCAATTGATTTATGTTTAATTGCTGAGTTTATATCGGCATGTTAATTACGAAAAGTTTGATTACGTGGTGGTAAGCACTTTTGATTTACGATCGTGGAAGTTAAGCAACTTTCGCAACGGATGGCTATGGGATGGGTGACCGAATTTTATTTGTGCACTAATTTCAAAGCATATTCAAAGCAAACAAATAGTAAAATCTCTCCTATTATTAATATTAGTATAGATAGTACAAAATACGCGTTGGGAAAAAAACACATTGATATGCAGGATTCCGTTAGCTCTTTACTTATACAAAGCCCTAAACTACATATACCCGTAAGAACATAGAAAAACTGCTAAGAGCGAAAAATTGCAAAGAATCATCGAATAAAATACCACTTGTCTGGTTCCAATTGTGGAATATTGAATTTTAGGGTATGAGATAGGAATTTTCGTGTTTAGAACCTTAATTCTAGAACACAAATTCATTAATTAAATTAAATTTAGGTATCGTTTTTCATTATAATCCTATTAATGTTATACTGTGAAAGTTTTGAGGATAGATGTTAGATTAGGAAAACATGCAACGCAAGTCGCGGAAAGGTTTTTGACATTTATGGACCTACAGCAGTTTCTGCGAGAGTAGTACAAATTAAGTTTATGCGTTTACTGCCCGAAACTATTTGATGACAAAAATGCATGGATGCAATTTTGGAAAAATCGGAGCAATTTCAGCATATCAGTAGTTACGATGTAACTGAAGAACTGGGGCTTGACTACAAAGCAGTTTTGGTACATTTGAAAAAAGCTGGTACAAAAAAAATGTAAATTTGGGTACCCCACGAGCTCACTGAAACCTAATGGTCCATGTACTCATTTGTGATACTTTAATACGGCGTAATAAAACCAACCATGTTTTGAAGACAGGAACAGGAACTACGAGAAAATTTTCAGTTTGTGTGGTTTAAAGACGGTAAGGTATGTGCTAGGAAAAGTGAAAACAGTAAAATATATTATATTAGATCAATTAAAGATATTGATTTGGTCAAACAAATACCTAAAGAATAAATATCTACCTACCCGTTTACTCACAGGTAAATAATTTCTTGTATTTGTACTTTTTATATACCTATATTACTATTGTATCAAAAGTAAAAAATATATATATATATATATGCTCTCTCCCCATTTTTTATAGTTATCACTTAATATTTGTAATTGGTTCACTTATAATGGATTCTCTTTGTATTAAAGAACTCTTTGATTGTAAAACTACTAACGGTTTCTTCCAATTGTTACCACCAAAAAGTAATCTAAGATTTTCTTGTTTCCATATTAATATAAGATCGTTCATAAAAAATCACATCAAGCTATTACAGGTTATACACAATAGTCAATCACCATTAGATATGATTGTTGTTACTGAGGTTGGCATCAGTGATAGTATTTCACAATTGTTTAACATACCCGGCTATAATATGTACACGCAACTACGGTCTTATAAAAGAGGTGGCGGAATTGTAATTTATGTCAAAAATCATTTGAAATTTACAATATCAAAAAAAAAATGCTATACCTTCGAAAGTCTGTTTGGTATATTAAAACTAGGATACAATACAACCTTAGTTGTGTGTGCTATCTATAGACCACCGTCAAGTAACAAATCCTTTTTTATAAAAGAACTACGTAGGTGTATTTCCGCTTTCGATCTGAAAAACAATTATCTTTTGATCGGAGATGTTAATATTGATTTAAGAACCCAATCGTCACACAGAGATTCATATCTGGAAGCACTAAGCGGCTGTGGACTAATGTGTGGAGTCACGGATTATACACGGATCGAAAAAAGAATGAACACTGTTTCTAGAACTTGTATTGACCACATATTCGCGCGCTTCCCCACATTAGATCCATACTCAGCCGCGGTTGATGTTGTACTGGCTGATCACCGGGCGATTATGTTTGCTTGCGTAGCACCAATTAATATACAGGAGGTAAAAAAAAATATAATAGATTATGATATTATGAGCGAGGAGCTAGGTAAAGTAGATTGGACACAAGCGAATAAAATGAGTAAGCCTAACGAAATATACGAATTTATTTATAATTCATTTGACAAGGCAAAAAAAATTGCATCTTCGACAATTAATTATAAAAAGTATAATAAATCACCTCGTGTACCTTGGATCGACAACAATGTTACTCGGCTGTGTAATAAACGTGATTATTTATTTGGCCTATGGAAAAAAACACCAAATGACTTAAAATTAAGATTAGAGTATAATCAAACTAGAAATAAAGTTCATAAAATTTTAGAACAGCGTAGAAACGCTTACTATATTAATAACATCGAAAAGAATTTTAAAAACACGAAAAAAGTTTATCAAATCCTAAATAAAATGATGGGTCGGATAACATTGTCACTCGATCAAGCAATACTCAATGCTTTTGAAGCACAAGGACTAACGGAAAAACAAATTGCTAACAATTTTGCGAAGAAATTTGATAGAGTAGTTAAAGATATATCTTTTAATTGTGATACTAGTGTCATTGACTCAAGTTTTCATCCTGAACCCAATAACAGTAGTATACGAGGGTCAAACTGAAAGTTCTTAGAACTGGCCACTTATAAACAATATAATAAAAAAATAATTCTAAAATTTGAAAATATAACTCTTTGCCAATATTACTGAGTATATATTTCATTCATTTGTCATTTGTTTTACGATTTGGCGGCAAATTGAAAATTGTCTGTGTCACGTCATCATGAATTTAACACGAGAAAATTTTCGTGCAATGATTTTTTATGACTTTCGATGTCATTTAAGTCAACAAGAAAGTTATGATAGACTACGATTGGCCTTTCACGATGAAGCCCCATCTCGTGCGACTGTTTACAACTGGTTTAATGAGTTTAAACGTGGTCGCACTAATCTCACTGATGATTTACGTGAGGGACGGCCTTCTACGGCGACGACTGAAGATAACATCTGTGTTGTGCGGCGTATGATAGAGACTGACAAAAGAGTGACCTATCAACAGATTCGGACAAGCTTAGGCATCGGTATGAGTCAAGTGCACAAAATCCTCCACGAACATTTAGCGGTCAGGAAGCTTTGCGCCCGGTGGATACCTCATAATTTGACTGTGGCTCAAAAACTCCATCGTGTGGATTGGTGTCGTAAAATGATTGAAAGATTTAACGGAGGTGACTCAAATGCTGTGTTCGACATACCAACAGGTGACGAAAGCTGGATTTACTGTTATGATCCTAAAACCAAAAGACAATCTGCTCAGTGGGCGTTTCCTTTCGAGGAGTTGCCAACTCAAGTGAAGAGAGATCGAAGTGCGGGAATAAAAATGGTGGCCTCGTTCTTTGGAAGGATAGGTCATTTTGCAACAATTGTGTTAGAGGATCAAAAAACAGTTTCTGCAGAATGGTACACTACCAATTGTTTGCCACTTGTCTTGGAAAAAGTTCGAGAGAAACGACCTCGCAGTAGGATCCTCCTTCACCACGACAACGCCTCGTCGCACACCGCCAAGCGAATGATCGACTATTTGGCGACATCAAACGTTGAATTACTGGGTCACCCGCCGTATAGCCCCGACCTCGCGCCTTGTGATTTTTATTTATTTCCAAAAATTAAAGAAAAACTTAAAGGAAAGCGGTTTATGAATGCTGAAGAAGCGGTGGCTGCGTATCGCGATGCCATTGAAGAGACCCCTAAGGACGAGTGGGCAAAGTGCTTTTCCCAGTGGTTCCATCGCATGCAGCGGTGTATTGACGTGAATGGACAATATTTTGAAAAGATATAATAAAACTAATAACTGGCTAATGTAATCAGTTTTTGATTTTCTAAGAACTTTCAGTTTGACCCTCGTATTGTATCAAAAGGCAACTGGTAAAAAGATATACAAAATCATAAAAAACCTTGACTCAAATAAGGCTCCTGGTTTAGATGAAATTAAGTTGTCCGAAATTAAAATAGTAG